CAATCCCTTCTCCTCCATTCTCCTCTCGGGATCTTGGGCACGCACGCACACGCGCCCGGCGTGAGTTTTAAGCCACCGGGTCTGGGATACGAACCGCGGTCGACTACGTGGGAGTCCAGCGACATAGCCATTACACTAACTGCTGGTTCCCGCAGCTTGCTTTCTAACTCTCCTTCTCTCACTTTCTCTGGCAAAACTCATGGGAATAATAAATAAATAAACTATATATTTTTAAAAATAATCTTTTTTTTTTTTTTTTGGAGAGGTTTTGCTATTAGGGTTTGTGTACTCATCAGAAAGAGAGAGACAGAAAGCAAGAAATCACCCCCTAGGGGAGATAGCCACACCACAATCCCTTCTCTATTCTCCTCTCGGGATCTTGGGCACGCATGCACATGTGCCTCGCATGAGTTTAAACCACAGAGTCAGGGAGAATGGAAGGGAAGGGATTGCAGTATGGCCATCTCCCCTAGGGGGAGGCAATTTCTTGCTTTCTGTCTCTCTGGTGAGCGTATGAGCCCTAAAAAATCTCAAAAAGAAATGAAGGAAGGAAGGAAGGAGGGAAGGAGGGAAGGCAGGCAGGCAGGCAATGGCTTTGCAGGGGCCAGCAGGTGGCACGGTGGGAAGGGGACTGAATTCCACAGACCGACTCCATGGTCGGAGTCAGACCTGGCAGCTTGACAATCACCTCAGGCACATGTGTGTGCATTGCCCCAAATCCAGGGAGGAGAATGGAGGCAGGGACTGCAGCGTGGCCAGGGCCTTGGGGGTGACCTCTCTCTCTGGCAGGTGCACACATGTGGCAAAAAAACCTAAAAAAGAAAACAGGTTTGCGATAGCACCCAGCCTTGCCTGTCACCCCTTGGGCTTTGCAAGGCACTGGTATGAGGGCTCTCAAGGTTGCTGGGCACTAGCCACAGGGAGGAGCCCCTGGAGTCCCCTCCCAGAGGGCAGAGGTCATGAGAAAGGGGACCAAGGAGACCCAGCACGGGTGAGAGAAGGGAAGTGTGTCTTACAGGCCCGGATCCCTGAGCGCCCGGCCTCCGCACCAGCTTGTAGCCTCGTGCAGCTGCGAGTGTGGGAGAGGCGGGCGGATGGTCCGGCTGGCGCAGGAGCCCGGGCTCAGGCTGGATCCCGTCTGGAGAGTCACAGAGCAGCACCAGCGGGCTCGGACCGGCCGGCGGTTCGGGGCCAAGGGCAGGAGGGGCCGCCCTGCCCGTCTCCCTGGGCCGGCCAGGTCAGCAATCTGTCTTTGCTGCAGAGGCCAGACCGACAGCAGAGATGGTGCAGCAAGGGCCCCGGCGCCGCCCCATGCCTAGTTCTGGCCGGAACTGGAGGCGCGTTCGCTGACGCTCCCTGCGCAGGGCGGCCGGGCCGAATCTGGCCCAAGGGCGGGGCCGCCGGCTCGGTCACTGCCCGTCTCCCTGGGCCGGCCAGGTCAGCAATCTGTCTTTGCTGCAGAGGCCAGACCGACAGCAGAGATGGTGCAGCAAGGGCCCCGGCGCCGCCCCATGCCTAGTTCTGGCCGGAACTGGAGGCGCGTTCGCTGACGCTCCCTGCGCAGGGCGGCCGGGCCGAATCTGGCCCAAGGGCGGGGCCGCCGGCTCGGTCAGGGGCCGGAGCCCTGGTTCGCGCCCAAGCTACCCCCGCGCCGCGCGGTGCTGGTGCCCACGGCAGGGACGTCTCCGCTCCCGGTGCGCCCACACCCCGCCTGGCGTCCTTTGCCCTCTGGGACGCCCGGGGACACGTGGCTGGGGGAGCCGCGGTGCTTGGGAGGCCGGCGGAGACAGCGGTTGACACCGGACGTCGCGTTTGTCAGAGGTTCGAAGAAAGGCCTCGACGTGCCACCGCGCGCTCCTTTGTAAAGCGGGAAAGGGACGGCATTCTGGGGACCCCTTCACGCTCGCAAGGCAGCAGGTGGGTCAGACCCATCCTTGCCAGGCTCGGCGCGTGGCGTCGCCCAAGCCCGGACCTGCCCGTGCGGCGTCTGCGGAACTGCCCGAGACTGGGACTGCGCCTCGCATCGGAAGGACTCACCCCTCCGGGACACGCGCACAGCAGCTGACTCGCCCGCCCCTCGCTACGCTTCGCTCGCCCGCCCGCGGCGCGCCGTGGGGTCAAGTTCCCAGGCCGGCCTCGCACAGAA